GCACTGGCTGTGAGGGGATGGTGCCAGCATGCAACCCCAGCACCAGGAGAGGTGTGGGAGACCACAGCATGGTCCTGGTGTGACCGGCCAGCTGAGCCATCCCTTGTCATCCTGCTGGATGGCTGGGGGGGCCACAGTGTGACTCAGTCCTCTGCCCTGGGTCTGCCCTGGGGGGAACGTGGCGCTCCCAGCACTCACCCAGCAGTGGTACTTGTCAACGCCCAGCTGTGGCTTCCCCCCAGTTGCCCTGCGCTGGCTCCCAGACCTGCCCTCCCTGCCCACATATTTTTACTCCTGCTTGGAGCAGGCTTGGCACAGTAGCAGAACTGCCATGGCAGCCAGCACTTCCCGCTGGCACAGCTACCTCGGTGTGATCGTGTCCCATGAGAGGCAGTGGCTGGGGGCATTTCCGCGCGGCACCAGCCCCTCCTGGAGACCGTCCACACCAGTGAGCCCCGCTTCCTTGTGGACTACGCCAGGAACCCAGAAGCCTTCAAATTTGCTCTCTGCACCTCTGAGGATGCTGTCACTGTGGAGGTCCCCCTGTGGATCGATGGCGATGCCCTGCACGTGCTGGCGTGCTGGCCCGGGGAGACACCAGCCGGGCACCGTCCAGGGTTGGGCACCTGCTGTCTGGAAGTGCCCTCTCCAGGGACCAACTTGGAGGACTGGACTAGCACTGTGGGTGTGATGGAGCGGGGAGGTGGTGTGGGGTGCCTGGTTCCGGACAAAGTCCTCCAGCACCTGAAAGAGCTCCTTGTTTCGTCCATCGTGCGCTGCCAATGCCGCTTCCTGCTTCAGTCAGGTGCGTATGCTGGCGCGGCACTTCCCCAGTCTGCAGCTGCCTCCAGCACAGCTCGGGAGCCCAGCTCAGTGGTGGTCCCTGCACAAACACGCTGGGGTGTAAGTCTCCAGGCGCATGGCCCGCCCAAAGCCTGCATGAACGAGCAAGTGCCCTGCCATGCGCTGGGACAGGCTTTGCCCTCAGCTAAGGAAGGGGAGATGCAAACTATTCCCTGCCATCCCATGGCAGCAGAGTCATCCTCAGGCATCTTCACCCTGGGCTGATGGCACCCTCCTCGGTGGGTGGCAGCTCCATGCAGGGTTCACCCACCCCTGCCATTAGTCCACAGGGAGGGTTTTCTCAGGGACTTGGTATGCTTGGTTCACCCTAACTGCATTTCGCCCATCTCTCCTGGCATCACAGAGCCCCCTGCTCCCTGGAGGAGGCTGTTTGGAGAGTGAACTGGAAGTGTGTCAGGGCTAGACTGGGTCCTTGGGGCATGGGTCTGACCCTGCACACACATGGGTCCCAGCTGGGACCAGTGTCCCTGGGAAGGACACGGTGGGTAAGGGACCCTGGGAATGCCCGTCAGGGTCCCATCAGCTTCTTCATGTATTTCCATCTCCAAAGGTGCTTCTTGAAGTAGCTCTCATCCTTGATGGAAAGGGGATGTGAGAGGACCAGCAGGTCTGAAAGTCTCTTAACCCAGCCCAGCAAGCCCACTATTCCCTCCTTCCTCCTCAGCCAAGCCAGAGCCCTTTGTCTTCCTCTATCCCTACAACCTGAGACCTTTCCTGGTCCATTTTGCTTGGACCATGTTGTTTTTCTTGGCACTGTTCAGCTACCCAGCAGCATGGCCCCATTCGGCTGCTTGGGGTTTCCTGCTGTGCCCACACCCGCCTGCCTGGCCCTGAGCCCTGCTGGAGTGATGTTCCTTCATGAAAACCACACCAGCAGTGTTTGGAGAACAGATTTCACTGGGGATCAACATCCAAATTGCAGCATTGGAAAGGGATGAGTCAAGCGGGGTGGGATGTACCCACAGGTGTTGTGGCACATACCCAGTTCAGCCTGTGGGACTGGCTGCAGTAACCTCCTAACTGCGGCCAAACCTTCTCCATCTAGGTGACCTCAGTGCCAAAAATCTGCAGGAAGATGCTATGGAGCTCTCTGCTGATCCGCAGTGGTTGCAAGACCGTCTGCTTTGACATTGTCCCGGTGGTGAGGAGGCAGCAGGAGCCACTCCGGCTCAAGGGGTGGCAGAGCGACAGGGGCTTCCCTGAAGGCAGCCTCTGGAAGGACACAGAAGCAGCCCCCATTGTCCCTGCCTCTCCCCATTGCTGGGGGTGAGTGGCGCAGCTGTGTGCACAGCAGGGTGACCCTGCCCCAGGGATCCCACTGGCTGGCACCACTGTCAGGTGTAGGCAAAAAAGGGGATGGGAAATTGGAGGGACAATTCAACAAGGGGGGTGAAGTCACCACCTTGTGTTGCCCAAACCCACTGCCCTGTATTGGGGGAAAACCCTCAGCCAAATTTCAGGCAGCTCGAGGAAAGAGGGGGGGATGCAACTGAAGGAGCCCTCTCCAAATTGTTTGCAGGAGCTGAACCCTGGATGCATGGAGGGTGGCAGCTCTCAGATCCCTGCTCAGGCTTCAGGAGTGAGCCTGGGTATCTGGCAGCAACAGGGTGACAAGGTGCCTCCCGGGGCAGGCTGCAGGTGGGAGGCAGGCTGGGGTGACACACATCTTGCCTGTCAGCACAGCTACCCAGCCCCATGGAGGGGCCAAGCATCTGACTGGACCAGCCCAGGCTTATTTCGGGCACAATGCGGTCCAGCTGGATGCTCGGCCCCTCCTTGGGGTCCAATCCAGCCTCCCCTCCAGGGCAGCCTGCAGCCCTCCCCGCTGCACGTTAGGGGAGCATAACCCCACATTGCCTCCCCTCTTGTCCCTCCCAGGAAGGTAGTAGCTGCTCAGCAGCATCCCCATCACACTGCAAATCTCCACATTCCTTCTTCACCAGAGGTGGGTGCAGGAGGTGGATCCAGGATGCTGCATGCCTGGGGACACGTGGGTGGCCAGGGGGGATCCCCACATGTACCAGGTCACTGCAGGTATCCTCTCCCCAGCTGGCAGGATGCAGGTCACCATCCTCCTTCTGACCAGACCCCACTTTCTCTTGCCAGATCCTCCACTCACCTCCCCAACCTGAAGCTGCTCCAGGCAGTGGACACACTGAAGGGATCCTGTCTGGACAGCCTTCACCTGCTTAACCAGCTCCACAGTCAGGACTGGGGAGGGGAGGGTGGGAAAGGTGGTCTCACCTTCAACCACCTGAAGGTAGGTAGGTTCTGCTGGCAGGACTGTGGCTCTCTGGGCAGGCAGAGCCAATGCTGCTCCCCTGCACTGCAGCTGAGTCACTGCTGGAAGAAGATCCCAAGCAACAAACCCAAGTGCCTGCAGTGCTTTGGGATGTACCAGCCCGTGGCTGTGTCTGGAAAGGTTGCACACTGCCGGCCATGGTTAGAGGGCTTTGATCCTTCTTCCTTGCAAACAGCAGGCACTTGCTGGATTGAACCAGCAATCTCCACCCTGAAACACCCTGAGCATTAAGAGCTGGGGCTCTGTGCTGATGTGCCAGGCATCCCCTGGCACAGGCTGCCTGTGTCTGCAGGGGCCATGCTGGGGATTGCCTTGCTGTAGTCATCCTGTGCCCCAGCATGCTGCGGAGGTGCCTGTGCAGGGATGAAGGTGGCGTTTCCTCTGACAAAACCCTCTCTCCTCAGCCAACCTGTTCTCAGCACTCTAGACCCACGCCAGCTGGTGATACTGGTTGGGAAAGGGGCTGTGCTGGGGACAGCACCTGGTGGCACAATCCAGGTGTGCCCTGCTTTGTGGTGGCTCTCCAGGCTGGGTGGAGAAGGAGGCAAAGTTGTCTTCTGCCAAGACAATGGCTCCAGCTCCAAGTAACCCAAATCCTGTGGGTTTTGCTTTATGCTGCATTCTTTGATTTTTTTTTTTAAAAAAGGCACAGTATGCATCTGTCCTTCAAAAAAGCATCTTCTCCTCCAGCCCACTGCACACATTGCCCATTATGCCATGTCACCAAAAGGCATTGGTGCCAGGCTGTTTGCCAGCACAGTGCCAAGAAGCTGATGGGGGTTTACCTGCCTTGCTGGTGGCTGATGGAAATCACAAGCAGGATTTTTTACTATTGCTTGGTGCCTGGGGAAAGATTGGGCGTGTTGTTTTGGAGCTGCTGCAGAGCTGGGACCTGCCTTGGAGCTGAGACAGGGGCTCTTAGGGGAGTGAAGCAAAGGTTCAGAACTAAGGGGTGGTAGGGCACAGGCCGCACCTGCAGCAGCCAAAGCAGCAGCTCTGCGAGCCTGCACAGCCCTAGACTGCTGAGGATGTGATGTCCGTGTTGAGGGCTCAGCCTCATGGGTGGCTGCACGGTGATCTGCAGGGTGTGAAGGCACAGCCTTTGTGGGGAGTGTCCGATTCCACACCCTTCTCTCCCTCTCCACAGATGGTGCTGCTGTGGAGCATGGAGCTCTTCCCCTCCCCAGAGGAGTGGCAGGACCTGGAGGGCTCGGTCTACAGGCTCTTGGTGATCCTCCTCCGCTGCCTGGCCACCCAGCACCTGCCCCACTTCCTGCACCAGGAGGAGAACCTCATCTAAGGAGACCTCCCAGACCTCGCCTCCCTCTACTGTAAGGTGGAGAGCTTTGCCCAGGATCCCCGACACTTCCTCTGCTTCCATTTTGGCCTCCCTGTGCCCACTGACAGCTGGCAGGCAGACCCTGGCACCCAAGCCCTCCTGCAGCTCCCTGACAAGGATGGGTCCTACTGGGACACAGCCTACTTTGACATCCTGCTCAGCCAGGCAATGGGGACCAGAGACCCTGGGCTGGTCTTATGAGGCAGAGAGTGGCAGCACCAGAACCACCTGGGCTGGCAACTTAAGGATGCACTGGAATTTGCCCCCCAGAGCCCTCTGGCCCCTGGCAGCTGCTGGCACATATTGCCCAACCCCACTGTGGAGGCTGCAGGAGGCTGGTGATGCTGGGGCACAGGGCTCAAGCACAGCGGGGAGCCCTCTCCCCTCAGTCCCCACCTGCTTCCACTTAGTTCCAGGTGTACCGCATCCAGGACAGCACATGCAACTCGGCAGTGTCCCAGCTCCTCTCCAAGGACCAGTGAGAAATCCCCCAGCAGAGCTGAGTGGGACCCTGCTGCCACCCCATCTGGGTGTCTCAAAACTCAAGGGTGTGCAAGGCGAGCTGTGGGCCAGGGAGCAGCATGCTGCCATGTCACTTTATTAAGGAAAGATGGTACCAGGGAGGGAGTGCACATCTCAGCTCCCCTGGTAGATCAGGGTGCTGGGGCAGGTGTTTCACCCCAGGGTACCTAATCTGGGGGGTGGATGGCATCCTGTTCTGCTGGGCTCTGGTGCAGGGATGGCCGAGGGTGATGGTGGTGGGAGGGGAAGGGACCTGTAGTCAGATCCCTGCATCCAGCCCTTTTGTCAGCTTGCAGTGGGGCTGCCATGCGCTGATGCCAGGGGAAGGGGAGGAGCTGGGGGGCCAGGCCATCAGGGTGAGGAGTGACCCTGCACAGGAGGACCTGGAGAAGGGGTTTTGAGCCACATCCGGCACGTGCTGAGCTGCAGCCCTCATCTCCACATCCCCTGCTCTTCCAGCTTCTCCTTCCCACTCTGACTTGGGTTGCTGGGTGTTGCAGCGTTTCCTGCCAGCTCTGTGGGGAGGCAGCGGAGCCCCTCTGCCTGCCAGCTGCCTGCAGCCAGGCATGGAGGGAGTGCCGCGCCGCCTCATCCGGACCACCCCCCATACACACACACACACTTTGCAGCGGTGCTCACAGCCTGCTGCGGCGGCGTCCCGCAGCCTGCTGCGGCGGCAGCACCCGAGGGCGTCTCGCAGGGCACGCAGCACACGGTCCACGTTGCCGCTGGTCGAGTTGCAGCCCATGAGGCCGATTCGCAGGACCTAGGGGGAGAAGGGCAAGCGTCTCCCTGCAGCACCCACCTTTGCGGCCATGCCTCAGCATCTCCCTGCAAGCAGAGTGGCCGGCAGCAGAGCGCAGGCTCCCACGCGGAGCAGGTGGCACATGAGGAGCAGCCATGCGTAGAGCACGGCGTGAGTGCATGCGCACAACTCCCTGCTTCCTCCTGTATAACATGTATCCTCTAAATACGTGTCACCCTGCTAATTATGTGCACGGTTATTCAATTACATGCAGCAATTGTGTGTGGTTAGGAGCCGATATGCATTGCTGCAGACAACGGGATGCATCCAGCCCTGTGTTTGCTGTTTGCAGCTAGAGAGCACCAGTTAATCGTGGGGCACACTACTGATGGATGCAGCCGCAGCCAGGTTCGGTGCCCAGCCGTGGGCAGCAGGAGGGGAGAACGCTGCCCACCTTGCCCACTGAGGGGCCCAGGCCCCCAGCAATCTCAATGGCATGGTTGTCCATGAGAAAGGCTGTGATCTCCTTCCAGTTGTAGCCCTCAGGTACCCTGACAGTGGTAACAGTGGGAAGTCTTGCCTTCTGGGGAAGAGAGAAACAGGGTTAAATCTGCAGCTCCTGGCCGCAGCCCTGTCCCCCGGCAAGCCCGGCAGCCTGCTAGAAGAGAGCATCGCTGGGGGGCATTTTTTTTCTCCAGTATCAAAAGCTGCCCAGGCACATCTCCAGCTGTGCAGGGCCATGTCCTCACAATGCCCCGGCACCATGGTCGTGGGCTCACCCCACACCCACCTCATCCTTCACGAAGAGCTCAAGCCCCAGGTCACGCAGCCCCTGGCACAGCTGGTTGCAATTGGCCCGGTGGCGCTCCCATGAGCTCTCCAGACCCTGTGGGCAGAGAGGAGGGAGAATGTCCTGGCACCCACCACTCCCCCAAACCCCACAAGCACTGCTGGTGCCCCACTGCCTGCCCAGCACTGCTCACCAGCTCCACTAGCATGGCCAAGCCTTCCCGCAGGCTGAAGAAGCTGTTGATCGGTGCTGTGTGATGGTACCTGCAAAACCCAAGTGGCACCCAGGCAGGTTCGGCCTGGCCTGCAGCAGAGCAGTACTCCAGCTCTTGCGGGGGGAAGATCAGGGTGTGGCATCCTCCCTCCTCTTCACCCAGTGCAGAGGGGATGCAAATACCCCAGGGCCGCTGTGCGACCAGCAGACAGGGTGATGGGGAGACAGGGCCCAAGTCCAGCAGGGCAGGCAGCCCCCAAGCTGGGGCGAAGGCTGTGGGTGGGATGGCTGCAGTCATCTGTCCCGGGACAGCCTGCCCTCACCTTCGCGGCTCCCCGTCACAGCCCCAGTAGTTTGCCAGCCAGCCCATGTCCAGGTAGAAGGACGGGGGCTTCTTCTTCCTCCTCAGCATCTTCTCCCTGGTAAAGCAGAGTGCTGGGGAGGAGCCGGACCTTGACCCCACCCTCTCCAAGGTGAGGTCAGTCCTGTGGGAGGGCTCCCCCAAAGCAAGTGCAGAGGTTGGCTCCAGCTCCCATCACTGCCCAGGGATGGGCCGGGGCTCTGATCCCACAGAGCTGCTGCTGGGCACGCTCTGCAGAGTGGGGCTGGAGTGGATAGCTGGCAAAGCTGGGGTCATGACAGCCTCCCCCCAGCCCCATCACCTTTCCCCCCACTGGGACAGGGCTGCCCTTACCTGGCTCGCTCGCTGAACGAGATGGGGGCACTGCCAGGGGGGGCGTTGAGGACTTTCTGAGACCCCGAGTATAGGACGTCAATCTCTGCCCGAGAGGGGAGGCAGCTCCTTAGGGACCAGGCGCTCCCAGCGGGGTCACGCTGAGCCCCCCCAACCCAACTGCAACTGGTGGGTGTCAAGCACAGGGTGGCACACACTGCAGGTCCTGCTGGTGTTTGGCCTGCTTTGGGGGACACCCTGGCACTGCTGACAGTCCCCTGAGGGGAACAGGCTCTCTGGCTGCAGCTGGACCAGTTTTTAGTGCTACTAGCCTGAAATGCGAGTGGTGAGGCTGATCCCACTGCCCTCCCTCCCTGGCCCAGGCATGAGCCCCCTTGTCCCCTGGGCACCTGTGATGGCACTGTGGCCCTTACCCTGCTGGTCCATGAAGATGGGGGCTCCCCCAAGCGATGCCACTGCGTCCACGAGCAGCAGGCAGCCATGCCTGTGGGAAGACAGAGCTTAGCCTGGTGCCCCTGCCACCTCATCCTGCCACATCCTCTTGCCACCCCTTTGCCTGCAGCCCGGACATCCTCGTTCCCCTGAGACCGCATGTCTCACTGGCACCAACTGCTTCCAGCACAACAGAGCCAGAGGAGAGCCCGGGGCATGTAAATCCCCATGCCCCAATCCCCGATGGCGATCCTGGGGTGCTGCCAGCCCCCATGGGTGACTGCTGTGCACTGACCGGTGGCACAGCTCGCCCAGCCCCTCCAGTGGCTGTAGCACCCCCGTGGAGGACTCGCCGTGGGTGATGAAGAGTACTGAGGGCTTGTGCCGCGCCAGGCTCTGCATGAAAACAGAGGGGAAGGTGACTGCCCACAGGGCTGGCTTACACCCACTGCCCCACACCACAGCTGGCACTCACCTCCTCGATGTCCCACAGAGCAAAGTACTCGCCTGGGGGCTTCAGCAGCTCATGGACATTGGCTCCTGGGAGGGATTTGGGCAAAGGGAGAGTGAGGTTTGGGCATGCCTCCCACTGGGCAGCCACCTGCTCTGCAAGGGCATCAATCATGCATGAACCAGGAGTGCGGCCACCCGCCAGGGTCCAGCCTCCTACGGATTTTCATGGTGCAAAAGCCGTAAACCACCATAATCAGAAGGACATCACCCTGGAAAAAACTGGGAGTGCTCTCCGGCTGTGGAAGCCGTGTTGCTGGCCACTGCCAATGGGATGGGAACAGCAAGGTGTCACATTCTGGCATTCCACCCACAAGCCCGGTCCCCTGAGCCCTGCCAGTGCTGTCCGTCTGTCCCCAGCATACCCAACCTCCTGGCGATGTCGGCGGCACGTTGTCCCCAGATGCCATTGACGGCCACCAGCGTGGTGTCACCATGCTCCAGAAGGTTGAGGAGGGCAGCCTCCATGGCGCAGTGGCCAGTGCCACTGATGGCTAGGGTGAGCCAGTTCTGCGTCTGGAAGGCGTACTGGATGCCCATCTTGATCTCATCCATCACCTGTGGTGGCAGGGGACCCACTGGCACCGCTATTGCCCCCCTCACCTCGGCAGAGCTCTCCCAGCCCTTCATGGGGGGCAAGGGAAGGGAGGGGAGGAAGACTGGGTTGGGGCAGCTCACCTGCAGCACCTCAGGGTGCATGTGGCCCAGGAGCTGCTGGCCGCCTGCAGCCAGGATGCGGGGGGGCACATTGCTGGGCCCTGGCCCAAGCAGCAGCCTCTCTGGCACGGCCAGGGGCCGGAGCAGCCCCTGGGGTGGGGGGACATGGAGCAGACTGGTGGCCATGGTGCACCTTGCCATGCCCAGGAGCTGAGTCCGGAGGAGATAAGCAGTGGAGGCTGCCCGTGCAGCACCCAGCACTGCAGCGCAGTGCATCCCGTGCCAGCAGTGTCCAGTGTCCCTGTGGACCCTGACCCCAGGTCTTGGTGCTCCCCCTACCCAACCCGGACTCTGCCCCTGGCCTCCTCCTTGTCTGGTTAATGTACTACCAGTGCTGTCCCTGCTGTCTCAGCCACCTCATTTTGGAGGGTCCCCACCTTGCTAGTGCTGGGGGGTTTGCTTCTCAGGCACGCCAGCCTCTGGGACTGGCAAGCACCCATGCAGACCCTGTCCCCACAGCCCCCAGGACACTGTGGTTGATGGTTCCCAACACCATCCCAGCAGGTGGAATCCCTGTTCCTGGGCACACGGGTCCTGTGCCATAGGATGGTTGCTGCTGGGACTGGCCCAGCACAGCCACCACGGTCACAACTCCTCCAGCAGCACAAAGCTCTGTTGGTCAGGTCTCCCTGACCAAGGACCTGCCTTGCAGAAGGATGCCTGCCCAAGTGACAGCCGTGCGGAGGAGGGTGGCCATCAGGATGGCCTGCACAAGGGCAGAGCCATGGGGTGGCTCTGCATGTCCCTGCCACAGCAAGCTGTGCTCTGTGGGCTCAGCCTTACTTACGGGCATCACAGCATGTCCTGATGATGCCACAGCCCATGTGTGCCTGTTCAATATGCTGTGCCTGTCACCTGCCACGTGTGCCCATGGTCCACT